AATCAATGCAAGTTTTATTAAACTGTGAGTCTCAGAGAGCACAATATAAATCAACGAGTCAATAAGGGTTATTGGTTTGCATTTAAACCACGTAATACCGAGCTCGTATATGCCACATGCATATCCCTAAAAGAAGGTCATCCAGAAGAACCTCAAAAGCCATAACATTGAAAAGGAGAGAAACGTAGTTGATTTCATTTGGGATTTCAAGTGTGACAAGAACCAATAACGACATATAGATCATCTGGAAGAACCCTTAAGGTGTCTTATCATAGACCTCTAAAACCAAAAATAAAACATGTAATAAAATTCATATTATAAATTATATCCACGGTTGCCTCATCGGTCATCCAAGCGGGGAAGAAAACATGCAAAAGAGTGAGAAGTAAAATTGAGATTCAAAATATAGATGATTGGATAAAACATCGATACAATAAACAATAAAAGTTTTCACAACACATTGCAAATAAAGTAGCAAAGAAAAAGAGAAAAAGACAAATACAATCGGTCCATTCAACAACCAAGGTTGACATATGTAATTCGCTCACTTAACTCTATCATCTTCGCTGCACCTTTCCCATCTCGGGGGCAAGTTTCAGGTAATTCATCTTTCGCCCGTGATAAAGATTGTCCTAGATGATATTCATATAGTAGGGACATGTGATTGATCATCATTAACCCTGTTGAAATCAATGTCGTTGTGCGAAGGATGCCGCCGAATATAGTTGTGGAGGGTCATTATGGCTAACACAATCTGCATTTGTTTAGAAAATAAATATGTCGGCATATCCTGCAATATGACTAATCTTTTCTTCCACATTCCAAATGTTCTTTTAATCACACCTCGTAAGGGCGAGTGTTTTTTGTTAAACATTTTTTTCCTGCCCCAAACAATATTGGTGGATCTTTCAAAATTTGGAATATGATATTTGATATCTGGAAATATCTTCAGAAACCTTCTTTATAAGGGGTATATTTATCTGTGACAAATACAATAATTAGTAATGCACTGAAAATAATATCTAATTAGGGTTTGTGCTCATGCAAACCTGGCGGTGGGCGAGTAAAGTTGTACTTTCGAGTTTTTGTGACAAATTTAATTATACGACTATCGTGTGCACCACCTTTCCAATTAGCTATAACAAAAGTAAAACACATATTAAAGTTGCATACAACCATTAGGTGATCCACACCGCCCAATGAATGAGATTTTTTTATTATTCGATACACGTGCATCGACGTATGTTCCATCGATCGCTCCAAAAGAATTCTAAAAAAATTTATCATGGTATATAAATTACTGTATACATTTGACTTTTGGAATTAATGAATAAAAAGAATTGCCTTAAAATATTACATATACCGCGGGTCATGTGTAATCTCTTTGATAGTTTTTTCAACTGTTGGGCCATCTGACGTGATAATTTATGGTGAGAAATAGACTAAATCATTCAACCCAACTAAAAAGTATCTATTGATTATTTCTGATGAGTGCTGAAATTGCTCTATTGCCCCTCTCATACATTCATTATATAGTCAAATGTAGACTGTAATTGCTAACACTTCTCTGAAAGCCATCTTGGAGTAATCACGAAGTCTATGATTTTTGTGTAGTTTTTCCAAGAGATTGATGAATACGAACTGTATCATACAGAACATATTGCTAAATCCTATTGGTTGCCCTATAAGCAAGTCTATAACCCATTTATCACCAATGTATGATGATGTTATGCAAGGAGATCGAACAATGTATTAGTTATAGTACTCATACATCAAATACACTGCAACTACAATTATTTTTTTGCATCTTTCTCTATGTGCATCCATGTTAGGCAATCACTCTATTAGACTAACACATAAAAATCACCAAATTAGCTATTATAAGAACATTCTTTAAACAAGCAACAATCATAAATAAATTTGGAAAAATAAATAACATATTGTACGACAAAAAACAAACATCGAAAGTCGTATTAATAGTGTCCCAAAGGAAAATAACTATTCAAAGCAAAATTAAAATTCTTCAAATGGAAAACAAATACAAATAGATAACTAGAAATAATGAAATTCAAGCATCATTGCTGTCATAAAAGTAACGTAAATAATTGACCCTAAGGTCAAGGGTTACCGTTGAACTCTCTGCAGGCTGGATCTTCTAACAACTTCATGAAGAACAAATGTAATGACATGTTCTCATAAATTTCTGGAGTTGCCTCCAAAATTCGCATAACTTAATGGATGAAAGTTGCTTGTGATGTCCCAGGATCATTGGTTCATGAATCAATTAGTTGTGAAATTTGATTTCTAATGAAAATAATGCCTTTTTTTTTTCTTCTCAGCCCTCAGACGCTTTGATCGGTTAGTGGATTCAACTTCATTGAGGTTCGGGCTGGGGCCTTCATTGGAATCAGTTGTTCGTTCGACATCTAAGTTCTCATCTATGCTTGCAAATCCTCACTCACTAGAGGCCTATGCATGATCGCCTGTTGCCATGACTCTACCAAACATACAATCCAACTTCTCTTCCAGCACAGGGACAATGCCATTGAATTTAAATTGTTTTGCAGTTGACACCACCTACAATATAATAGATAGATATGTTGATGCATTTGAGAAAAAAAAATTATATTATGTAGTTATGATCAATTTTCACCTCCAATCTCTCAGCCCACCATTCTTTCGAACCATTAACTGTTCGCTTAATCAGATCCCAACCAAAGTCTGAGGATTCTTGTTTCAATTTTTTTCAAAATTTTCAGACTTTTATTAGTTGATCCCATTTATTTTTCAATTGCATCCTATAACATTCTCTTCCCATAGTTTTTTTGAATTTTTTCATAATATTTTGCTAGCCCTCATTGTTAAAATATGTTGTGGGCCTATTTCCCTATTTCACCTCTTTATGGCAGAGATTGCAAAATATTAGTTTGATTTTTTTATCCCACATAGCAGATGAACCGATCTCTTTTGTCTTAATCATTTTGTTACTAGCATAAAAAGAGTTAAACAACATAAATATTTGCCACGAAATTAAATTACCACAACTCGAAGAAAAATAATATTGCCATAATACAATCACCACTACCCCCACTCCAAACACCACCACCTTTGCACCTCACACCACCACCTCCACACCATAACACCACCTTACACACCACATCCACACACACCACCCCCACACCATAACAACACCCCACACACCACACACCACACACCACACACCACACACCACACACCACACACCACACACCACACACCACACACCATACCACGAACTCCACACCACACACCACGAACTCCACACCACTTGTGGCAATAGATTTTGAAAGCATAAGAGAAACACTAAAAACAAAATGGAAGTTGAACTATGGAAAGCTCACCATGTCACATTAGCTTCTTAACTATAGAGTTCAATAACCATGAAATATATATAACAAAATATACCATTTTTTAAATCGAAGGGCATAACATTGCTATCACACAACACCATCTTTCATTCACAACACCTGAAACATTGCTATTCTTTTTAGCAAAATATACGATCTTTCATCCATTCTTCAGTCTTTCAAATTCTCACTTTCAATCCATATTCATAACATAGACAACACCAGAAATATTTCTGTTAACAAATCCACCATCATTTTTCACCTATTTTTCAAATTCTCCCTTAAATATTAAAATTTTTGATAAAATCCTAATCCATATTTATAAAATACACAACACCACATTGCTTTTCACAAATCCGACGCCAACTTGTATCCATTTCTCAAATTCCCACCTAAATATCAAAACAATACCTGGTAGAGCAAGACCAAACCACAAACCATCCTTTGCAATGATAGGTATGTAATTATACCTATAAAACCAAAACGAACATATCAAATCCACAAACCGAATGAACAAAAAAGAAACTGAAATCACAAAATACAATGCAAATTAAGTTGTAACCACCGAAAAATAGAGAAAAAGGATATCTCCGGTGCTATGAATGTGAAATTTCCAAAAATAAAATCTTTCTGCAAACCATACGCGCAAAGCCACCAAGAATAGTTGATGGGTAAAAGCTACTGAAGGAAGAAGGAAGCAAACACCGGGAAACCCTCTTCAGAGGTGTCAGAATGAATGCTGGATCAGGCCGAGCGGGGAGGGTGACATGAGAGTAATGGCAAACCAAAGACCACGAAAATGTGTCTCTAAGGTCGCGGTTGGGCTTATCGGGCGCGTTTAATGAAACACGCTTGCTCCTCACTAACCAAAGGATTGAAATCACAGTGGGGTGCCTTATCGTAGCCAACCACTGCGCTAAACATACCCTTAGTAGTAGTAGATCTAATGACGGGGGTTTAGCACTCGTTGATCAAGTTATTAAAATGAGTGAATGTTTTGGATATCTCGGGTCTATTATTCATAGTGATGCTGATATAGATAGAGATGTTATTAATAGAATTAAAGTTAATTGTTTGAAGTAGAGGAACACGTAAGGCCTAGTGTGTGATAAAAAATATTGCTTAAACTTAATGGAAGATTTTATGAGATGGTGGTGAGACCTGCAATGCTTTATGATGTAGAATTTTGACTTGTAAAAGAAAAGCATAAAATTAAGTGTTGCTGGGATGAGTATGCTTAGTTGGACAAGTGGTTTTACACTTGGAGACAAAACACAAAACAAATGTCTATGGAAGGGGAGACAAGATTAGAGACAATCGCCTTAGATGGTTTAGTTACGCTAAACGTCGACCATCCGATGATCCAGTTAGAAAATTAGGTGTTTTAGATTTGACTTATTTTAAGAAAGGTAGAGATAGACCTAAAAAGACTTGCATATTGTATAAAAAATGATCTTAACTTATTAGAATTCTATGAAATACAACCATTCAGTGGGTTAAAGGGCTGTTGTTGTTGGTTAGGTGTATTCACACTTTATTAGCTTTAGAAAGTGATGATAAAATTTTTCTTGTTCGTGACGGATTGAGAAAACGATTTATATATTTGCTTTGCAGTTTGCTCCACCACGTTGAAAAGAATTTGTCGACAGCATGGGATTTCAAGATGGCCATCGCGCAAGATAAAGAAGGTCAATCATTCATTAAAGAAGATCCAGAGTGTCATAAACTCTGTACAAGGAGTTGAGGGAACGCTACAGTACGATCCCAAAACTGGATGGCTTACAGCAGCTGTAGCACGGGAAAAATTAACACCTGCAACCCAAACATCAATATCAATGCGTGGCAATGTGCCATTTTCTTCTTCGCCTCAGTGTGGAGCTGGGCAATCAGATGAGAGGCTGGAAGTTCAGAGAGCGAACGTTCCAAATGCTTGCTTTACAAAATCCAAGGTGACTTTTTCTGTACCAATGAGCTCGGATTCAGCTGCGGAGGAGGACGAGATGGATGTTAAAATAGATCTTAATGTTGGGAGAGAACATAGCCGTTCTTCTTTTTCGAGCATGACCGATTCGTCAAGCGAGAGCACTTCTTGCCGCCCAACTCTCATAAAAAGCTCAAAAAATGAATCTTTAGTTTCCCATAAAGGTCCAGTCTATACTGTGAAGGCAACTTACAAATCTGACACAGTAAGGTTCAAACTTTTGCCATCAATGGGTTTGATGCACTTGTATGAGGAGGTTGGGATGAGATTCAAATTGTCCATGGGAACATTCCAGCTCAAGTATATGGATGATGAGGAAGAGTGGGTTATGTTGACGGGTGAATCGGATTTGCAGGAATGTATCGAAGTCATGGAATCTATTTCTTCTCAAAGTATGCGACTTCAAGTTCGGGATGCGCCACGTACAGTGTCAGCTCAGCCAGCAGCAGCTGCTTGTTAATGGAGGCTCCAGAAGGTGAGGCCAGGAACTTGGTTTTATTTTGTACAATTTGCTGAAGCCTGCTGGGCAAATCTTTTGTTTGGCAAATTGAGATAAAAAATGGGTTTTTTCTGCATTAGAAATGCTTATACTGTAAATTTAGGAAAATGTATCGAGGTCCCCTGAGCATGGGGATGGAAGCTGGTTACTGAGTCCGCGTGCCTTGTGTTTTAAATAATTACGTGCTTCTTGTGTTTCTTTTTGTTGTCAAAGGTATATATATATACATTGTACTGTGTAAAATATTTTCATCTTAAAGCTGTTTTGATCAAGTAGTGATGAAAATGATAGAAAATGGATGTAATTTCAGAAGTTTTGACTTGAAATGTGTTGTTCACTTGAAAACAGTAATCTTCAAAGTGCTTTGCTTGCCTATACATGCATTTGTTAATGCGGTTGGAGATTACATTTTGTTCATGGTTGCTCCTTGTCAGCAATACACACATTTTTGATGTCCAATGCCCTTCATGGAGGTGAATTAGATAAATGATTTGTCGAAATATAAGGCATGCCAGCCCATCAAAATGTGAAATATCACATTCTCTCAATGGTAATTTATGTCATGTACGATAAAATATAGGAAGATTTGCATGCATACCACTCAATTCTTATGGATTTATGTATCTAACACCTAAACTTTTAAGTTCTACTTGCAAAACCCAAACCTATGGATGAGAAGTGTATTTCACTTCTTAAAAGTTAAAATGATTGTGGTTTTTATTTGACATGAAAGATGTGGGAGGTATAAATGTAAAAGGGCAAGTTTGAGTGTTAGAAATGTAAATACATAGGAATATAGTGGTATGTATGTAAGTACCCATTGGTTTTTAAAAAAGAACTCTTTGGGCCATCCAATGGATTAGATAAGGTGGTAAGTCCCAATCTTTTGGCCTTCCCCCAAGCCTCATCTCTCATTGTAATATTCATTTTAAATTAATATTAGAGAATTGAATTAAAAAAGGATATAATTTTGGTTAGATTTGATCCTCTAAAAGCAAGCAAAACGACTCAATATGACCCCTATGTAACACATTATAATTAATTTTAAAACTTCGAATAGAATGAAGCACACATAAAGATTCATCAAGATGCATTCCTTTGTAAACGAGCAAGAATAGTTGGTAAGGTTGATAACCCGATAAACATAGAAACTTGATTGTTAGAGGCATCAAGAAACCCATATACATCAAGAAATCACAGGTAAATATTGCAATCAACAAGAGATTAACCCGATAAACATAGAAACTCGATTGTTAGAGGCATCAAGAAACCCATATACATCAAGAAATCACAAGTAAATATTGCAATCAACAAGATTCAAAGCATCAAGAAACCCATAAACAAAACTAAAAAATAGTTTGCAGACGCCTCTAAGTGGGGCACAATATCCGTAAATTGTGATGTTTACAATTATCCAATAAATGTAAGCTTTCCATGATGCAGCAAATAAAATACCTTAAGTTATATCATGCAAATGGGGGTAGATTAGTAAAAATCTATAGTTGAAGAACTTTATTTTTAATGTGAATCTCTTGAACATAAGAAGAAATCTATGATGATGATAAGTTTGATTACCCAAAGATTATAATCTAAGAAAGTCTCATCATAGAAATTCACTTTCATACTCCAAGAAAGTACAATTAGCTCAATTCTCAATGATTAATATTGTCAAAAGAATGTTTTGGGTACTTTGTCTGAGACAATAGACTTTAGCACCCCATGCAATGTCACAATTTGTTCCACATATAATTTGGCTAATCTCTCCACTGGATTAGTCTGTCTAATAGGCATGAAAGAAATGGGCAGATTTGGTCAGCCAATCAACAATTACCCGTATAACATCGTGACCCTGACGTGATCTCATCAACCCAATAATAAAATTCATCACAATCTCCTCTCATTTCCATTCTTGAATCAATAAAAGCTGCAACTGACCTCCAAGACGCTGATGCCATGCCTCCACTAGCTGACATGAAAAACACATTGCCACAAATTATGTCGCATTCCTCTTCAATCATGACCACCAAAACGCTTCTTTGAGATCTTGATACATTTTATTGCTCCCTGGGTGAATAGTATATCCAGATAAAAGTGCTTTCCTTAGAATTTCTTTCCTCAAGTCATCAATATCTGGAACATAATCCCTCCCTTTATACCTCAATAAACTATCCTAATCTAGTACAAACCTCTTCAAATCGCCTGCCTTAATCTGCTCCATAACTTTCTAATTATTGTTATCTTTAGTTAAACAATGTCTAATTCTGTCCTCCAAAGCTGAATACACTGATAACTGATATAATTGGACCATACTACGATCACCATAATCAACTATGGCTAGCTTCAACTTCTCTAGATCTTTAATTAACTGTTTCTACCAAGTAAATAAATATTTCAAGTTACTTTAAGCTTTCGTACTCATTGCATCTGCCACCACATTAATCTTCCCTAGATGTTACTGAATATCCAAATCATAATCTTTAATAAATTCTATTCTTCTCCTTTATCTCAGATTCAATTCTTTCTGAGTAAAGTTATACCTCAAATTTTGGTGGTTAGTGAATACCTCACATCTAACTTCATACAAGCATTGCCTCCATAACTTGAGTGCAAAGATAACTGCAGCAAGCTCCAAGTTATGCATAGGATAGTTCCTTTCATGATTTTTTAATTACTGTGATGCATATGTAATAACTTTACCATGTTGCATAAGTTCACTACCCAAACCCCTCAAAGATGCATCGCTGAAAATTTTAAACCAATTAGAACTTAAAGGAAAGGTTAAAACTGGAGCAGAAATTAAACAAGCCTTTAGCTTTTGAAAAGTATCCTCACAATGATCTGACCATTTGAATTTCACTACCTTCTAAGTCAACTTTGATAATAACATAACAATCTGTAAAAATCCCTTGACAAATCTCCTATAATAACCAACAATACCTATAAATTTCCTAATCCCAGTAACAGTAGAAGATCTTGGCCAATCAACAATTGCCTGGACCTTATTTTGATCCAAATATATGTCGTCTCCACCAATAATGTGCCCAAGAAAAGCTACACTTTCAAGCCAAAATTCAAATTTAAAAAATTTGGCATAAAGTGTTTTCTCCTTCAAGACATGTAGCACAAGTAAATGATCTATATGACCAACGTCATCCATCAAAAACACTAGAGCATCATCTATAAAGATAATCACTAAAGTATCGACAAAATGCCTGAGGACTCTGTTCATCAAGTCCATGAAAATTGTTAGAGCATTTGTCAGTCCAAAAGGCATCACCATGAATTCATAGTTCCCATATGTAATCTTGAAAGCGGTCTTCTCCATGTCTTCTTCTTTAATCCTCAACCGGTGATAGCCTGATCTTAGATCAATCTTCAAAAATATTGAAGCCCCTTTCAATGGATCAAACAAATTTTCAATCCTCGACAATGGATATTCATTTTTAACAGTGAGCTTATTCAACTCTCTGTAGTCCATACACATCTTGAAGCCCCAGTCCTTCTTCTTCACAAATAATACTGAAGCTTTCCAAGGTGAGGTGCTAGGTCTGATGAACCCCTTATCTAATAACTATTGCAGTTGACTTTTCAACTTTTGCAACTCCTTAATTGCCATTCCATAAAGTGCCTTGTATACATGCTTAGAACCTGACAAGAGCTTTATAGTGAATTCAATCACTCGTACTGGTGGTAGCCCTAGTAAAACATCAAGAACACTTATGGATATTCTCCTACCAGCAGAATATCATTCAAAGACTATACTTCCTTAGAAATATTTGCTACATGAGTAAGAAATCCTTGACTTCCATGATTCAACAATTTGTAAGTCTTCAATTAGGTAATTATCATAGATACCTATCCTCTGTAACTAGAAAATTTGACTTCTGTCTTCTTAGATACATTTATTTTGATGACCTTTTTATTAAAATCAATAATAAAAGATTTTAGACATCCAATCGATGCTTAAAATCACATCAAATTCCACCAAGGGCAACATAAAAAGTTGGGCATCAAAATCTATTCTACAAATCATAAGATTCACCTCACATGATTGATTAACTTTTATAAAAGCACAATTTTATATTTTAAATGATAGTATCATGATCTTCAAAAGGATAATCAATCACATCACTTTGGTGAGTTAATCAGCTATAAATGAGTGTGATGCTCCCGAATCAAATAATACTCTTATCGGTCTACCCTAAAGATAAATAACACCTATCATTAAAATCATCGCATTAAACATTTAAAGTTACCTTATTAATATAATTAAATTCTTACTTCTTTTATATATGACATTACTTAAGTTCTATGATGCTTAAAGTGCCGTGGATAAAATTGTTCAGAGTAGAACATACTTGTGATGAAGCAGGGGAGTCCTTAGCTTCCTGCTGTGAAAGAGCATATACTCTAGGCTGAACATTGTGTTGAGTTTGACCTATATTTGACATTAATCTTGAAGATTTAGATACCCCGGTCTACCATAGCTCCTCTAAGGTGGTGCAACTCTGCCCCTAGAATCTGTTGGAGCCCTTCAACCCATTTTAAGGCAATTTCTCAATCTATGCCCTCACTGATGGAACCAAAAGAAAATGTTCAATCCAGATAGACACTCACCCTTGTGAGACCTTCCAAACTTATCACATTTCTTCGCTTCAAAATGAGTGTCAACACTATTGGATATAGTCTTCTCAGTGCATGTACTACCTGAATGGATGGACTGCCTGCTCCAAAAGCCCTGAGGAAACTGTTGACCTTACTTTTGTTGAGGTCTGGTTTTTCTTCCTTAGAGCCTAGGATCTAGCCTTAGGACTGTCCCGTTGACTATCCTAGAGGACTAGTGATGGAACCTTGCCCCATTATAAATTATAAACACCTTCTTACTCTTATTGGAGTCCCACATGTTTAGTTTTGACCTCTAGCACTTAGATGATTGAAACCAACATGGGGAGCTTAAGAGAAGTCCCTACAGGATTGTCGGGCCTTAGGGTTAGCCATGGGTGGCTTGGTTTTGGTCTTGGTCAAAACTACACATACACACACTCACAAACCCCTCACACACATTCCTAAAACCCTAAAATCAGTCACATTTGACCTTTCTCCACTCTTTTGGAAACTCATGTGAGTGGTCCCCAAGCTCTTAGCCTTTGGCTAGGGTGGCCAGGACCAATACATGGATGATCCAAAGTGAGCTTTCCCTTCGTCTCATGGCAGTAGAAGGTTAATATTGTGGTTATCATATCCAATAACCTCTAATTCCACTTAAACACCCACCCTTGGCCTTCTACCCCTAAATTTTTCAA